TTCTTTCAGGTGGAGCATATCTGTGGGTAGATTCCCTGTGGCTGGCTGGGCCAAGGGCTCAAATACCTTCACAAAGAGTTCTTGTGAAAGGAGAAGGTCTTAGTACAGGTAAACTGTACTAAGCTTGACAGGCCTTACTTGTCAGACTTACTAGGCTTGGATGACACAGTTTTTATCAGAAACCAGAGCAAGATAAAAGAAAGGTACCACACTGTGGCCCTTGAGTAGAGAGCCCACTAAGGAAATGCTAATTAGATGCAAATCCATGCATAGAGTGTGGGCTTCTGTGAAAGAAATAACCCTAAGCAGATAGATCATGCTCTCTGCTGGGACACTGAATGCTGGGTCCAGAGGGCAGGTTAAATGAATGTCTGCTGAGCCACCCAGCTCAGGAGGTGGCAAACCATGTCCTTAGACCGATCTAAATGTTTACTTAAGGACTGTTTCCTCCAAGGAGATGTTCTCTAACATGTCTCTGTGCAGCTGGGTGAGATGTGCTGTCCTGCCCGCCGGTGAGGAGCCGGGTGGTGTGGAAGAAGGGTGACGGCTAAGGTGCAAATCCCCCTTTCTCAGGTGATAAACTTTGAACTTTCTCTGCCCTCCTGAGGATGCAGGGTGCCTGCAGGGCCTTGGCACTCAGCCCTGAGCAGGGTGATGCCGGGGTTGAGCGGGCTGATGTGTTAACACCTCGAGGGCTTCCAGGAGGCACAGGAAGGAACCACAGCCTACCAAAGCCACAGTGATGCTGCTGATCCCAATATAAGATGCTCCAAGGGCCACAGGGCCAGTCACTTCGCTGTCACTCCTGTGTGTGCATGGTGCAGCAGGGAAGAAGTGCTGAGTGACTTTTGAATTTCTGATGGCAGATGTTTCTCCAGGCTCGATCTGAGGAGAGTGTGCAGAGCTGTCTGCAGGTCCTGGTGCAGATTCACAGAGGTGGCAGAGGGAGGAAGTGGTTGCTGTCATCTCTGCATGATTGCTGCTGCACACCAGTTGTGAAGCCTTGTATGGGGCTCGTGACAGAGCCTGCACAGGCGAGGCAGGGTGAGGACTTGGTGAAAACCCCCCACATTTAAAGGAAGAAAAGTGATTTTTGTAAGGGGAGAAAATGCGTCATCCCACATGACTTGTGGATTTAAGACAAGTCGGCACAGCCCTGCTTGCTGCGGATGGAGTGTGGCAAAGGCCAGCTCAGGCATTCCTCCATGCAGCAGCCATTGCTCCTGGGACCACAGGGGCTGCTGAGGTGATGGCAGCTGGCCTGGGTGGCAGGAAGCCTCCTTGCCCTGTGTAGAAGATATTGATCAGACAGGGACGTATGGGACTGGCTTCTCACCCGAGGATGCCCAGATAGGAGAGAGATGAGGCTGAGTACATCAGCCCATTTTGGGTCAGGGACTTGGTTTTGCCTAGGTGTCTGGTCTTGTGTGAAAGCGCCAGCAGGGAAAGAAGTGGGAAGAAGTGCAGGAGTAGAAGGCGACTCTCTTCTCTTTCTGGGCCTATCTGGAGCAGGGAGGGAACATGGAGGGAAAATGAACTTCTGGGCTCCAAACCACATCCTCTCCATAGTACCAGATGCCAAAAAAATGTTGATTTACCACAAGAAATTAGGAAAAAGGAGAGACAGCAAAAATAGATTTTAATCCTCAGATGCTACTTTTTAGGTTACCTAGATGTGAAATCTGCAGTCCAGTATCCTGGGAAGCAAGTTTAATACTGGGGAAATGTACTCAATAAATACCTATCACAAATTACAGGCACCGGGTGTCGGCGCACCTGGATGCAGAAAATTCGAGAGCCAGAGTCCATTTTGCTTCCACCTTCCTTTCCCGAAGTGCAGAGGTGAATGGCGGCAGCGCTGGGGTGGGTGTCCGGAGGAGGAGCGGTCGGGAGCGGGAGGCGGCTCCCGGTGCCACTAGAGGTCACCGTCACAACGAGGGAGCGGCCCCGCAGCGCAGGGCAGCCCGCACCGGCGGGAGGATGTGCGGGCCTTGGCCAGCGCTCCGGGAAAGGTCTGTGCAAGGAGGGGACGGAGTTAGAACAGCCGACTAACGTAAAGGAAGTAGGAAGAAATCGGACGGAAAATACTTTTTTTTTTTTTCTTTCTTTTTTTTCTTTTTTTTTTAAGACGGCTTTTTAAGCACGCAGCGTCCTGTGCAAAACCTTCCCTACCACAGCGCTTGGAAGCCGATTTTTCCCAAAAGCTTCAGTGCCAAGTGTCTCCCACACTGGCACCTTCATCAAACACGTCTTCAGATTTCTTCACCTCCACCCAACAGAGAGGATGTGGGCAGGAATGGGGTCCCAGCCATGGCCAGGCTTCATGGGAGCTGCTGCACCAAAATCTCTGGTTTAAAATCTTTGCTTCTTGGTGTGTATGGATTAAAGAAATTTAAGAAAATGAGGTGTTAAACCTGCCTGAGGGAAATACCTACGATTCCCCTAGAGAGCTTCCCGCACGGCCTTCCTTGGAAGTTTGCTCTCCTGCCTGAAGTGAACTTCAGCCTCTTTGGGCACAGAGAGCTCTCATTTATGTGCCTCAAATGTTCCTGGGTAGGGTATCATTTAAAAGTAAGTAACCATCATGGTTTTAGCCAGGTTTCGCTCTGAATCACCAACTTACCTCAAAGCAAAACTGAGAAAAAGTTCTGGGCTAACTCTCATGTTCTCAAACCTTGGACTGTTGCACGTCCTTACTTAGCGTGAAATTATTCAGAGTTGAACCTGGCAATTACAGCTCCTGTTAGAAACCAGACCAAAACCCCCTCAATTTCAGTGGTTTTGGCATTTGTTTTTAGTGGCTACCCCCATATTTAGCTGGCGGAAATGCCGCCAGCAATCACCACTGACATTAAGCAAACTCTCACTTTCCACGCTCTCACCCTCTGCCAAGCTGCTGCTCTGGTGACACTGCCTTTGGGGAGGACCTGGACCTAAGGCCCTGCACTGGACTGGGAAATACATCACAATAAGGAGGACTGGGGATTTCTGGATGGTGGAAGGGGATGGGTGTACAGTATCAGGGAGCAAAACCTGGTCAATATAGTGCAGCCACTATAAAACATCTTTCCTCATGAAAGCCAACATCCTCCAGGGCTGTGAGGGCAATGCCCTCAGGAGCTCTTCCCATGAAGTTTTCCATAGAAAAATGCATTTTCCTTGTGTTGTAAGAGTTCAACAGAAATGTTTTGCCCTGATGTTGCCACTGTATGTACCATACTATCATGCTGGTGGGCACCTTGGGTGGAGGCAATTCCTTCCCCTTTGCAACATGTGAAACAGTACTGAATTAATCACAATGGTTTGGGATGAAAAAAGCCTTAAAGGTCATCTTATTCCCACCACCCTGCCATGGGAAGGCACACCTTCTGTTAACCAGGTTACTCGAAGCCCCATCCATTCTGGCCTTAAACACTTCCAGGGATGGGACATCCACAGCTTTTCTGGGGACAGTTCTAATGTCCCACCACCCTCACAGGTAAGAATTTCTTCCTGATATTTAATCCAAACCTGCCCTCTCTCAGTTTAAAGCCATTGCACCTTGTCCCATCACTACATATCCTTGCAGAAAGGTCACCAAGCTCCTGTTCACAGCTTAATCAGGGCTTGCAGGAGGAGAGGGAGAAAGAGGTTCAGGGCCCTGAAGTGTGGAAGGCTTGGCTGGGAGGACACGGCTGCAGAGTGTTTTGGGACCCTTATGTCCCTCTGTTCTTATTGTCTGAACCGCAGGGACCAGCAGGCATTTCCATGTTCCCAAACATATTCACGAGTTTTTGCAGGCACATCGTAACAACTTGTGTTTGTACAGGCAGTCCCGAGGACTTGTGCAGCCTTCCAGCTTGCCAGCAGCTCCTTGGCACACGTCAGGGAGTGAATGTTGCTTCCTAGTAAAAATAAGGGCACTGGTGTATGTGCTGCTGTTTAATTTGTTTTCAGAGACAGTCCTCTTTACACAAAGCCAGTTGTGGGGAGAAGGGAGGAAAGAAACCAATGGGAAGAAGCAAAACACCCTGAGAGCAGTGAGGCCCTGCTTCCTGGAAGACACCTTTGGCTTTTATATATTTGGCTTTTATATATTTGGCTTTTAAAGGTGTCATCTGTCATTAGAACCCATGTGATGAGGGAGAGCACCAGAGGTCACACCCAGAGTCAATGCTGATGCATTTCCTAAGGTGTGGAGGAGCTCTCGGTATACAGGGCACACAAAGCCAAGGCAGGTGAAAGCTCCCACCAGTCCCAGCTGGAGCAGGTGCCACCTCAAGCTCAGGACACTGTTTCCCTCATCTTGTAAGGAAATCTCCTACAGAGGCTGTAGAGAATCAACAAGAAAACCTCAATCATAAGCCCTGTGGTTCACTGGACTGAAATTACCAAGAGCCAGTGCAGCTTTACTGGAGGCTTTGTCCATTTATTAAAATGTGCTTTCCATCTCACTCTGGAGGCACATGATCCCAGAGATTGAAAGCAGGCCAGGAGAAGCCCTAAGGAAAACCCCACTGTAGGTATGGGATAAACTCCAGTACAGGCAAGTTAGGTGCTGATTAGAGACCATAAACACTTGAACAGAAACACCTTGGGCGAGCCAAGGTGCTGGAAAATCCATTCCTTATAGGAACCATAAGAGAAGGTGAACTGCAGCTGATAGAAGCCTCTGTTTGGCACCAGGTGGCTGTGGAAGGCTCCTTCATGTACCATTTATGTATAGGGGGACCTGGGGATCTAATTATTTAGCCAACATTTAGGCAGAGCAAGGATCTTGGTGCATTTCAGCCTTGTTAATTCAGGCAATAAGTGAAAATCAAGGAGACATACATGTACCAAGAAAGCAGGTGCTGTGGAAGAAGTTTAAAATTACAAGCTAGTTAAAGAAAAAAAATGTACATTAAGATGATTTTGGACATCCAAGTTAAAAATGGTTCCCACCAGTGCTGTCTTTATATGTTACATACCAAAACCAAGAAATAAAAGCAATAGATCCATGTTATTTTATAATTTGGTGATCAAATGGTCAGTCTTTATTAATATTATCAATTGCAGCTTGAGTTAGGCTGCTGGTGAGACTTATTCCAGCCTTGCCTAACTTTTGATGAGAGTTTGCAAATGACATAGATTGACAGAGTTCAATTAATGAGAGGCAGGTTCTAAAGATCACGGGCTTGCTATCAACAGGAAAGTTAATCCTAGTTAATCCCTCAATTGATCACAAAAATAAAGTCAGAAAAAATCAAAATCCCCTTCTAGCAAGCACTCAAACACTTTATTCTTCTTGGAATAATGTCAGTGACTTCAATATTTAGGGCTTTTGAATCTACCTAGGAAAGTTAAATTTGTGGCACTTTGACAAATTGGGGAATTTTGAAATAATTGACATTTCTGTGGTCTACAACTTCCTCATAAGGGGAAGAAGAGGGGCAGCCACTGATCCCTTCCCACCAATGACCAGCAACAGAACTCAAGGGAATGGAATGAAGCTGTGTCAGAGTAGGTTTAGGTTGGGTTTTAGGAAGATTTTTCACTCAGAGAGTCGCTGAACATCAGAATGGGCTCTCTAGGGAAGAGGTCACAGCATCAGCCTGACAGAGTCCAAGAAGCATTTGGACAATGCTCTCATACACAGGGTGTGATTCTTGGGGTTGTCCTGTGCAGGGTCAGGAGTTGGAGTCCATGATCCTTGTGCATCCTGTCCAACTCAGGATATTCTGTAAGTCTATGAAAAGCATGACTCAGTTGTTTCTTGAATGAAATCACTGTGTTTGTGTGGGTGAGATTCAGGATTTCTGGACTCACCCACTTACACTGCAAAATAGCAGTCTGCATAGTCTGCAATAGATGTCTGCAAAATAGCTGTCTTCATGGGAAAAAAACCCAACTCAGTTCTAATATTCAGATGCAGACAGTGGAGCTGAGGACAGACAAACCTTCTGCAACTTAAGTGAATGAAAAATAGGAAAAAGTTATAAACTGGTAGCCTGGACAGTGCATTAAAAACCAGCACAGTCTGTTTGCTGTTATTTCTTAGATTTGGGACATAATCCTGCTCTGATTTAAGTCAACGGGAGTTTCGCTATTGAATTCAGAGAGACCAGAATCAGGCACTTTTTCTTCTCCAGACCTGACCACTTTATTTGGAAATATAACTTTTTAAAACACACACTTCTCTCTTAAAATGCTACAAAGTAAAGCAAGTAATTACATTAGGCTCTACCTGAAGCTCCAGAGAATTAATACAAAGGCTGCTTGACTCTTGCCAACTTTTACTATTACAATTTTACTAGCACCATATGCAGCACTACCGTACCTGCTTGTTTCACTTAGTAAAATCATTGGGGTTTGTTTTTAGATTGTTTTTGTTGGGTTTTTTTTTTTCCAGAGGAACAAGCAATATCCACAAACAAAAGCTCCAGGGAGTGGGTACCAGCTCGGAGGCCCATATGGTCTTAGTATCAAAGTAATCAGAGAGGGAACAGGTCTGTTTGCTCAGCAGCCCCACCCTTTTTGCAAACATGAGAGTAGGCTCAGGAAAAGGTGCTCTTTTGGGTGGTTTCTGTTGCTTGCTATCATGCAAGAAACTGTGAAGTGAGATTTCCAATGTTATTTTCAGCAGCTCTGTAGCCTAAAAGGAAAGAAGCTGTAAGGTAGGGAGAGAACTGTCTGTGCCAGCTTTGAGACCATGGAAGGGTTGGGGACACTTTCCTAAGGACAGCCAGGAGAGGGTTTCTGCAGAGGAGAGTTTTAACCAGAAAAAGCTAAGCCTGTGATTCTCATTTGACTAATTCCAATGCAGGAGAAGAACTGAATACAAATTACACATACAAGGCTTCACATACGGACCAAAGTGTCTGCTAAAGCAGAGTAAAAGTTGATGAGGGATTTTTCATCACTGGACTTGAAAATATTGTGACTTCTTGCTGAAAGATGAATTTTGAAGACCCAAGATTCTGTCAGTGTGCTACTTTGACATGCACAAATATATTGAGGTGTGACTACTGCAAGGCACAACCACATGGAAGTCAGATATCAGTGACTTTAAGACACTGGCTAGCTGAGGCTGACAGGTTTGTTTGCAGTCTTGATTCTGAACCCCAGCTACACTGATGTACACTTGTAAGTGCCAGGCTGAGACCAGCTCTCAGGAGATGGCATCCGGCAGAGCTGCCCTCTCCTTCTGACCAGGTGAGCTGGCTGATGGTTTGGGACATGCTTCTCTGTTGCTCTGGGAAAAAAACCCACAGAATCACAGAAATGCTGGTTGCATGAGACTGCTGGAGCTCACCTAGTCTAACTTTCTGTCAGAACAGGACTATCACAACTGACATACCATTAAATTAGCCTTATCTAGCTAAGTCATAAAAAGCCTCCAAGCATCCAAGGAGCCACCATCACCTCTCTGGAGCATTTGATGGAAAAGGCTAGGCTGAACATCTCCATCTTCCACGTGTGCCTGTTGTCCCTTGTCAAGTCCTCTGATGTGACCAAGAAGGGTTTGGATTTGTCCTTTTTGTACCTGCTCTTCAAGTAGACCTGCTTTGGGTTTCCCTTCACTGGGAAAAACAAGCTCAGCTCCTTCCACCTCTCTCTTGCTGCATCTGCACTCCAGACACTGGACCATGGTTGCAGCCCTTAGCAGGACCTTTCCAGTTTATTTCACCTTCCCCTTGAGGCAGAAGTCCCAAAACTCCACTCTAGCTGTGGATGCATCAGTGCTGGGAAAGGGAAGTGCATGGTGTCAGATGTTTGGGCCACAGCCTCGTGTTGTGGGCCAATGCATGGTGGATAGACCCCCATCCCCATTTCCACTGCTGACTGTCAAAGGGAACTAAACAGTTGATACAAACTAGGAGAAACAGAGTGATTTTGGTTACAGCTACAGCTTTAGCTCAGTACCTGTATGTAACTTCCCATGCTTACTCAGCAAATCAGAGCAGAGCCCAACTTACGTCTTCTTGTTCCTCCAGTTTGTCTTTCAGTCTAAGACTTACCAAAACATAGTTTTATATGCTAATTTCCTCACAGTAAACCCCTTACTGTATGTCATTCATCGATGCCGAGCGGTGTACATGTAAGAGTAGGCTAATATTCTGTGTATATTACCAACTTTATGAGTTAAAGAATTACAATGTGCTTGCTTTATTTAGGTGGTAAACTTTTTTAATGAGTCTGGAGGGTCCTTTACATAAAAGTAGTGACTCTAGCTTGGAATCTCTTTCCATGTTTATTAGAAATGTGTTTTACTTTACCGTGAAAAAAGTCAAGGAAACATGCAGCCCTAAAGTCTAATGAAGTAGTTACTCGTGCAGTCAAAGTTCATAAATTTTAAACACATTTAATTTATAAATTGAAAACATAGCTTGCACTGGCTTTTTCAAGATTATTGCTTGCCACAGGGGTTTTAGGATAGTTGCTAGGCCATGCATGTTACCTCTTTTCTTTCTAGGCCAAGACTGGATCTTCATGATTTGCTCACACTCATGTTTTTATTTTTTTTAATAAAAATCTTTTCAGAAAGGTAACTCTTTAGAGTATTAAAAATCATAACCCATCCAGTAGTCTCAGCAGTCTCTTTGTTCTCAATTTAGATAGGATTTGCTTTTGAGCTGACACTTTGAGAGTTCTTTCTCCTGGTGAGAAGCCCTTTGTCCCTCTAGAGACCTGTCTTCTCAGCTAATTGTGAAGAGCAGTCCCTGCAGTGGCAGTCTGAGCTGGATTGCAGTCTCACACCAATAAAACCTCAGTGTCAGCCTGAGTGAGGAGCCCAGCTTCCAGGAAAAGGGAATTTGGGGAAGTGAGGAAATGAAGATGCTAACTCCCCACTTTTGCCCTCTGCATTCCACAGGTTGCTTGTCCATCTCTTGTGAGTGACTCTGGCTGCACGAGCTCCACCATGACTTGTCCTATTTGCAAAGCAGTCTCAGGTACAAAATATGCCATAGGGATGTCTGGCACACAGCATGGCTCTATCTGCTTCAGGAGGAGATGGGAGGAGGGTTCCAGTCTTAAACCAGCTGGAATTTCCACCAGACATCCTCACTGGGCACACTCTTTCATGTTGGTGTCTCTGTGAAGTGAGCCAGCAGATAGCTGATGACTGCAGGACCACTCTTTATTGACTCACAGTCACAGAAGGTCAGCTCTGGAGCTTCAGGTCACTTTACATGGATGTTATAGAAATTATAATGTGCCTATGATAAGGGGAAATATCAAACCCACAATACCTACAATAACAGTGTTGGTATTTAACAGCTGAATTTTTAGATTTATATGGACAATTCCCTCAAGCTTCTTTTAGCAATATGGCAATGCAGGTAAAGAAAAAAGGGTAGCAGGGCTCACCCTCTCTGTTTTCATGCCCCCAAAAATAATAAATTATACCCAAGCCACTTCAGAAAAATATTTACATGTCACCTGGCCTCAACATCCACATGCCACGACATCCCTTACCTGGATGCTCACCGAGTCCCTGCTCCCACACTTACAAGGGCTGCTTCTGCATGGCTCATCCAGATGACTCCATCTTCAGTCAAGCAGGCACCTCCAAGGGTTTCTACAAAAAGCAGCTGTGAGATGATGCCCTCCCAGTGATTGATACAAGTCCCTGCTCTGGTTCACTGTTTCTCCCATGTCTTTCCACCCTAAGCCCCGCAGTCCCTGCGTCGCTGCCTGGCTGTTTGCACACACCAGGCCCAGCCAGCGCTGGGAGCAGGGCCAGTAATTGGAAAGGGGAATTGCAAAGCACCAAAGCTTATCAACTGGCAGCGAGGGAGCGTTCAGCAGCCACTTCAGGGGCCAACCCAAGGTCCGGAGTGGGTTGGCAGCCTTTTTGTTTGGTAGTGTGGGGTGGACACGCACGGCTGCTCCGCTCTGAGCAGAGGTTAAGGCAGGGTGGTGGCTCGCTGGCTGGTGAAGCCTTCTCCTTCTGCTGGGGCTGCTGAGGCTGCGGAGGAGAGCAGCGCTGGAGCAGGGAAGAGCCGTGACACAGCGCTCACCGAGAGAACATGATAGCCTCAGGCACGGCTTCTTGGCCTCGGGACTGCCACCAAGCACCATTACTATGCACAGAAGTAGCAGCTATTTCCTCATATATCTTTTACTTCATTAACCAAAGCTTCTAAATATAGCCATGACTAGCAGTAGCAAGCCACGGTGGGTGCCCTCTGTGGCTGGGCCTTTGCCGTCTGCCTGCAGCACCAGCACCTGATCTTCACTTTGTTAGGAGCCCTCTGCTCTCAGCCCTGGGACACACGGACGATTATACCACAGGTTTCCTGCTACACACAGGAAAACCATGCGGTCCCAGAAATGGAGCCAGCTTCTTCCATGTTCCTGCCAGCCCTCAGTGCCCCTGTGCCGTCCTCCCCTTAATTCCTGAATCAACTCCTGACCAAAATATATCGCTCCTTTCTGGGAGAAACCAGGCTTCCAGTGGAGCCAACATGGGTAAAACCCCTGAGCTCAAAGCCTGACTCCTTTTGCAGTTGTTCTCACTCATTACCTAGGATGGGTTTATTGGGAGCTCTCCATTCTTGTCAGGGGAGGATTGAATCTTATCAGGCATGTAAAATGGAAACTATTGCCTTTGCTGGAAAACTTTCTGGACATATCAGGAATATCTAATATACTTGCATGATTCTGTTCGTGACTTCAGCCTTGGCTTGACAGCAGGTAGTATAATCTCTGTACCTGCCAATTACTCACTGCCAGCTAATGCTTACCCCTTCACTCAGCATTTTATTAAAAACAGTGGGCAACTGGGGAAGAGGGAAGACATCTCATATTCCATCTGGGTGGATTTTGGCCTACATCCCCCTCCTGTAGCTTCTGCAGGAGTTACACGTGTCCATTCCTTCTCCCAGTTCTGTAAGAACTGAAAAACACAGTCAAAGGAGAAAAACTAATGACCCTTTGTACTTTGTCTGACAAAGAAAGAGGTTATGGATGCTTAAAGGTTTGTTGCTATATTCTAGCAGCAAGGAATTTGATTATGACTTCTTGCACATTGAAATATGATGTCACTTGACAGCTTAATGTTAATTTGTTTTTTTGTCTGTTCCTAACAAAATGGACTTCATAATCATTCTATGTGAATTACTCCACTCATCTAGCTCAACATGATTTCCTTGGAGTAAGTGGAAGACCATGCTTCTCTATGCCTTGAATTCCTTCTGTTATAATATCTGAGGTAGGATAGCATTTTATAGACAGAAAAAAAACTTGCAATTGTCACAATATGCTCATCAGAAATAATCTGCCTTTTATCAAATGGCCTCTGGTCCATCCTCCCTTACCCATGGATCATTTTTCACAGTAGCTGGAAATCTAACTATCCATTTCTTCTCTCAGGAAAACAGTGTGAGAATAAAAATATGTCAGTGAGCAAATATTTGGTGGGAAAGCCAAAGAAATCATGTTCTTTTGAGACAAAACTCTCTTTACTTACAGCTGAGTAGACAGAGATTAAGTTATAAGGAATCCGGGCTCCTTGCCAATTCATCCCCATCTGCTTGTCAGGAACAACTGCTTTGTTATTTGGCTTGGTGAGGGAGCAAAGAGTAGGAGAGGGGACAGTGGGCCATGGCCATGGCCTCCCACAGGCACTTTTCCACACGGAGGAGCTGCTCTTGCCTGGGACCTTCAGCACTGATACTCCATGCTAGTGACAGAGAGAGGGCCAGGACTGGGTTGCCAGCAGAAGTGGGCACAATTCAGGGAAAAGACCCCATCTGGATAAAAAAGAAATGAATGAATATGTGAGCCTTAAGAAAAATGAAGGTGGGTGTGGGAAATCAAGAAAGTAAAGAAGAGGGATTTTCAGTGTCCCTGTGAGATCAAGGTATGTTGTGTCACTGATAGCAGCTAAGAGACTTCTGGGGGCTCTGAGCAACTGAAAGAGTTGGTAGTACCTGAAGCTCTGTTGCTGTGTCATCAGTATCCTCTAAAAATGTGATAAATTAGAAGAGCAATTGCAAGAACTATGTACCTCTACCACAACAGCAATCTCAGCAATCCTATGAAGTTCAACAAGGAGACATTTAAAGGTTCTGTGTGTGGGACAGAATAACTTCAAGCTGTGAAGAAACAGCTGTGCTGGAAAGGACTTGGGGGCTATGGTGGGTGACAAGAGGAGTATGAGACTAGAATATGATCTTACTGCAAACAGCTAACTGCAGATTGCATGGTCAGAGTGCTGGAAGGAGGGTGGCCAGCAGAATGAACTGGATGTCTGCATGGCACTGGTAAGTCTGCAGGTGGAGTACAACATCCAGTTTTGGGACTCCTGTCTCAAGGGGGATGTGAAATAAACTGGAAAGGTCCAGCCGAGGGGTGCCACTATGGTCCAGTGTCTGGTGTGCAGATGCAGCATGAGAGAGGGGGAGGGAATTGGGCTTGTTTTTCACAGTGAAGGGAAGCCTAAATGCTGATGGAACAGCAGCCCATGTCTGCCTGAAAAAAAGGTTCAAAGACGACAGGTCCAGATTCTTGGGGGTTTCAGAGAATGCAACAAGGGGCAACAGGCACACATGGCAGGTGGGGAGGGTCAGGCTTGCAATTAGGAAAGCTTTCTTTACCAGATGCTCCAGGGAAGCGGTTGACAGTTCCTGCCTTGGAGAGTTTTCACAACTTGGCTGGATAAAGGCACAGCTGACCTAACAGTTTTGGCCGTCCAGCTTCGAGTGGGGTGATCTTCAGCGTGCCATCCAACCAACATTTCTACGCCCTCATTTCTTGATTTCAGAAGCCTCCTTCACTAGCATGGATGGAATTTCAGGAGAAGTTGCAAACAGTCAATGCAACACTATGTAGACAACTTGCTGCAATCCAAACATGTCACCCAACCTGAATCAATGAATGCACAGGCTGCATATTCAGCTGCATGTGTCTTCCATTCAGCCAGATCACACAAATACAACTGTGTCCCTCACAAAGCTTTTCCCACCACACCCAAGGTGCCGAGGAACTAACAGACTCAGCTGTTGATTTTCTGTAATTGCTTCCAGATTCACCATTTTTGGCAGGCCAAGTCAGCACAGATTGCTTTCTTTTTTTTTCTTGGCTTACAAAACTTCTGAAGCACATGCTTCAGACACAAATACAGTACCAAGAGGTCTTACAATTCATATGAATCCATAGATTGCTGTGTCAAATGCATTGTCAGCCTGACAGACTACCACTCTGCACTTACTCATTTATATGAAGGAGGAACAGTATAGAAGCCGATCCTTGCTGAAACAGCATTGTCAAGCATCCAACATACAATGTACTGGCCAGTGCACCCAGTTTCAGTATCTGTGAACACAGCTGCAGCACCATGTACTGTCACAATAGTAATTACCCTTTCCACACTTAAATTTTCTAGTATTTTAATCTAGGAGTATAACTGTTTTGCATGTTGCAGAGTCATGCTATTTAGGATACCATTTAAACTGAAAAAGAAAGCTGACTTGCAAAATTCTTGTTGTTAACAGATTTTTGGGTTGTGTTACTTTCCATTTTCTCTGCAGCGCTGCACTGTATTCCTGCTCATCCAAAGCCAAGAATGGCAAACAAATATATCTTTCTAAGCAGTGCCACGTAACCTTTTCAGACCTACCCATCACGTAGGAGTGTTTAGAGATGATTTTCATTACAGGTATACTGAGATTTATGTTGTTAGCAAATTCACCTGTCACATGCGATTCTTTTCGTTAGAGCTGCTATTTCCTGCTCCTGCCTATTTGCACAGTGACCCATGCTAAGTAAACCTCCCAGGGAACATACTATAATTTCCAGAAAGAAAAGGTCACTGAGAGCCATCTTCATTTCACCAGAACTTCACAAGCATTTCTGTCTCTTTCCTATGTAAATAACATGCATGGATTTTTTCACGTCTGATCAACGTTCTTCCCACCAATCATAAACTGAAGAAGCAGTTTTGCATTTATCTGTATTTTACATAATCTGATTATCTTTGGCGAGATATAAATCAGCATGTAATTCAAAATTTCCAGCATTCCTCTGGTTTACAATGAAATAATAATACAGAATAGCAAAGATAATAATTCCCCTACCTGGGGTTTTATTTCAATTTTTGACATCCTAATCCCATTGATTGCTAATTTAATTAAGTTTTACACTAACCTCCATCGTGTTATTGAGTAGGACATGCAAATAATTTTTAAAACATGTGATACTTCAAAAATTATATCAGCAGAGAACTTATACAAAAATCTATAGGAGGACTTACCTCTCCTGCTGTACTCTTTCCCCTGAAATATCTAAGCACTCCTAACACATCAATTTGAAAAGGGTAATGAGGGCACCTAAAAAAGAAGTTTATTTGCAAATGAGGCCACATAACCTTATTAAACCAGTTTGTGTCTGGGAGCTGGCAAAACCACTTCTTGCAGTCCACCCCATAGAAACAACCTCTTGGTTGTTTCTAATCATTCAAATTTGGATGCTTAGAGACCCCACCTTCTAAAATATGAAAGGGAATTCATTATGGGAGGAGTTGCAGTAGGTTTGCTTGTTTTTCTCCCTCACTTGGGAACACAAAAAGCTTCATGCAAAAGATCTTAATATTTTTGTCTGCTTAGGGCAGGTTTGTATTGACTGATCCAGCAAATCCTGTTCTGTTTACAGTCACACACCATTGCTAAGAAGGCAAAGGCATTTGCATAAAACTACAACACTAGATCTGTAATATTTTGCTAAGTTTTTAGTCTGGACATTATTTTGCTATTCTTAGAGGAAACAAAGTTACTCCATTTTGTGCCACCTTCTTTCTCCACACCTTTCTTCCTCTTCTATCTTCCACATACTTGGCTGATCCCTTGCCTCCTTTTTGCCCCATTCTGCAGCAGTTTAATGAAGACCACATGTCCCTAGTTTACCCAGCAGAGTGTTATATGGGACAGCATCAGAAGCCTTCCTTGTACTGCCTGCAAGCCATCTTTTATACCATTTATACCTTTTTGACTGTCAGGCCATCTTCCCAGGTGGTCACACTGGCCTCTCCCCATTCCCGCTGGGAGTCTCCTGCATCAGAGTGGTTTTTCATCCCATCTTCAGTGCCTCTTTTAGGAGCCGAGAGTTCTCCAGGGCTCCCTTTCCCATTAAAATTCCTTTCCACAAGACTGCATTTACCAATTCTTTTAGTGTGTTGAAGTCTTCTGGTTTAAGTTCATTAGTCCATTGCCTCTACTCACTCCTCTCCTGGAGCTCAAGAGCTCTGCTGATTTGTGATTTTCTACTCAGATCACCTTTCTCAGCAGCAGCAGCCTCTCATCCAGTTTTCCCACATTAAACAGCAGCAAACCACAAGCCACCAGGTACAGCTGCACACACCTCATGTCACTGCAGCAAAAAACTTCTTTATCCACAAAACTTCAGGGATGGGCAACACATTGTAATTGCCTCCTGAACACATATCTAGGACAGAGTTTCCAGTGCTGTGGGGTGTATCCTACAGGAGTTACAGGCGTCACTTTCCCACTTTCCCACTGCTGCACACAAAGAAGATGCTTGTGGCTCTGCAATCAGACTCCTTTTCTCCATGCAAGCATTTCCACTAGGAGCCAGGAATCAGCTCAAATGTTTTGGCTCTGTGCTGTCCCCCACTCCCAGTAAGACATAGGATGTAACTGACTGGAAAGATGAATCTGGGAACTTCAAAGTTGTGTTGACATCCCCGTCCCTGAACCAATGCACTTCTTTCCACAGTAACGGGCAGTCAGATACAGATACTGATTTTGCAGTTCTCATCTTGGCTGCTGAATTTCTCTCTGAAGCCAAGGAAACCAGCATCAGGAAACCAGAAACACTGAAAGTTTCACACATCATCTTAAGAAAGGGCAACAAAAAAAACCTCAGCAAACGTGGAGGCCCAGGGGCCTGTTACCAAAATGCCTCAATCCTAGAGGGGCAGAGGCAAGAGGGGAGAGATGCCCCACTAGAATTGAGTAAGAAAATAGAGTAAGAAACCATGGGCTTTTTGCAGCCACATGTTGGTGCCTTTTGGGTTCTGGTGTTCTGATAGTGCGTGGGGATTGATGTCACCCTTGTTCAGCCCCTGTTTACCATTCATGAACCCTTCCCAGAATGTTCTTCTTTCCCTTAACCCTCATTGGCTGTTTTGCCTCATTGTTCCACCCCTGTTACCCCCTTTGTTCTCCCAACCCTTATCCACTCCCCTGCACCATTTTCCCTTGTCTCTGTTCAACCTCGACCCTCAGATCTTCCCCTTTTACCCCATATTTCACCCTGTGCCCTTAGCCCGATCCTTGATTCTTGTCCCTGCACCTATTTGAGGCTGTGTTCAATAAACTAGTTGTTTTAGACTGCCAAATGAGAACTCATCTCTTTGTCTTAAATCATCAGCATTTTCTTTGGCATGCTCTGGGCTCAAAGACACAGGTCGCTCTCTGGGGTATCATTGTGGCACACACGATAACAAGCAAAATCCACAAAAAACAAGGCGCCTAAAGCTGAAATGCAGAATTCACAAAAACAAGAAAAAATTTTTGCCTGGATTTCTCACAGAAACAGCCACAAAAATTTTCTGTTAGGCTGATGATCAAGAAAATTATCCTTTAGTTCTACCCACATCATTTTACATGGTATTTTAAACATAATATTATTCATGATAATTTTTCACTTCTAATTGCAATGTCCTTTCACTTCTTTTACTTCTAAGTGCCAAGCTTACAAGAGCTAAGCAAAACTCTTTTCAGTGTCAAATTCTCCCCAATTTAAAGGGCTAGGTGCGCTGCCCTGCCATTACCGTTTAACACACATCCTGCTTTTTGTGGTTCTCCGTCTTGCTTTTTTCCACTTATTACTTTCTTTCCTTTCTCCACTTTCTATTTTAGGCTGTCAAGGAGAAAGCAGTCCGACTCCCACAATGAAATGCTTCACCTGCGGAGCCTGCTGAGAGTGAAATTGATAAAGGACAGCACCAGCCCAGGCAATTTCACTCACAGCGGGCACTTGCAGGTGAAGCACTACCATAAAATGGAGCAAGGTTACTCGCCTGCTGCCTCACCAGTTGACAGCTGCTTGTTTCATGACCTTTTCAGTCATCTCCTGCCATGCACCACTTGCTCTGACCCCAGGGTGAGAGGCAGGAATCAGGCATGTGGCCCAGTGTTTGCAGGCAGGGGCTGAGCCCAGGTAAGTGCTCCAAATGTTGAATACTTGGCTGGAGGCTGGCCTGGTCATGGGACTGTTCAAGCCACCTTCCCACCAGCAGTATCCTCGGGAGGATGTTTGCAGTCCCACCCACCCCTTCATGTAGTACAACAGTCCCACAGAGCTGTCACCATTGCAACTGCCTGACAGGACAAAGACAACTCATAGATGTTCCTGTACCATATCTATAAGGTACAAGCCTGATGCCATTTAAGACAACAATCATTTTATCTGCTGGTTCCCCATAGATCTATTTCAACATAGGTTTGATCCCAAGGGGTATCACTTACTGTCCCTCCAGCATTGCTTTGCCCCAGTCCCACTTCCTTCACTATTTGAAAACCTTGTGTACCAAAGAACAATTTTAGTCAGCTCAGGAGTTTTTTTTTACATTTTAATAGGAATGATCCTCAGAGCCTGACAAATACCAGGGCTGATGTTTTGCCCAAGTCAGGTTAGTGTAAGAAGTAGTCACAAGAGAATTGCGGTGATGCAAAGTAGAGAAACTGGGCTCTGCCATCTACCCCCTTTTTCAATACTAGGAGCAGGACATGAAACTCAGAATCTCCAGATTTGGAAAGAACAAATAAAACAAACAAACTTTTGGTATGTAATTCATCATGTATTTAACAAGGTAATTACACTATTTCATATCCAAGACCAAAATATTTTGAAATCTAAAAGAGCTCAAGTCTTTCAGGAGAACAGTCATAGAGTCATAGTTTAGATCACATGGATAAAGCAAGTTTAAAAGTTACAACAGATCACCTTTCTCATACTTCAGGGTATAAAATTCCAGGAACAGAAGGGATTATTGAGAAACTCCCTTTCTAAGCAGTGCATCTTATGGAGTGCTGTATAGTCCTTGTTAGAGACTCAAATACCAGGCAGTGCTAGACATGTGGCAAAGTAATTCCTGCAGCACTGGTGGGGGGAAATCATTGCTACAAATATTCTTTCTATAAATACATATCATTCCATTTACAAAATTCAAGGACTGAAATTAAGACCTAAGGAGCACAGGGAAGACTCAACATACTTGAATACCCAGCTCCTAATTTGGAACATAATTCTCAATTGAAATTAGTGGAAAAATAGGTATCTCAGACGGATTTAACTGCCTCAATGCCTTTATGTCTAGATTTCCAGTAGATGCATCTTAACTCAGCTCTGCAGCCTTCACTATGCTGTTCCAGAAGGCTTCTCACCATCTGAAGTGCAAAATTCACCACCAGGAACTGGCCTTGGGTAAATACCTTTATGGGTTTTTGTGGCTGATTACAAGTGTGATTATTGTTATGCCATGGGAGAATACAGAGCAAGGACAGAACACCTCAGAAATATGACCACAGATTAATTGCTAATAAGCAGATGGTCTCTGTGTGTTCCCATTTATGAGCTATAAACAGATCGTAATACCTTTTTAAAATTATTTTTTCCCAAAAGATCTAGTTTAACTCTTGTCAAAGAGCTTGAGCAGTCTCTTCTTGGAGGAAAAAATTCTACAGCAGATTCTTCTTTTCCCAGTTGATAAAAGTCAGTGACCAAGTCAGTGACTAAGATTGATTTAAGCTTGAAAACTTAAATAAAACTGTGCATTTAAGATGGCAGTAAAACTCCTACAAGACCATGCTCACTGCTGAACAGGTAACCAGCTCAACTGATTTGGGGGTCACAGAGCTAGAAAAATAAAGCATTTCTCTTTGTTTTAGCCATGAACATATTACAGCATAAGGGTTTGTTTCTTTACAGTCTCTGTAATTAATATTGATGTTAACAGCATTATACTTTTACACACTAATTGTTGCAGCCTGAACCAGACCCACTCCAAACATGGGAGATGTGAGCCAGGCAGGCAGCAATCTCCCCACACTTCCTTTTGTGCCAGTTTAAAACTCACCAGGGACCTCACAGAAACCTTACCAATAGCAACAGCTGAAATGAGTCATAAACGTAGCTGCTCCCAAGGTCCAGAGTGTGCAGGCTGCTTTGGCTGGTGCCACGTGTCCCCTCTCCCTCCCGGAGGAGTCTGGCTTGTGTTTGCTGCAAGGCATCACCACTTCCTTCTTGGCATGCTCATTTCTCCGAAGGCTCTGTCTGCCCCGTTGCTCAGGCAGAGGCAGCTGAGCTGAATTTACCTTTAAATATACTCTAATTGTCTCAGCGTTTTCTTTTTTAGATGCAATTAATTAGCTGTTTTTACCTGACAGAGCTTTTTACCTATTTTATTCAGTCAGTCCTTTCTCTTTTTAACTTAGCGTCAGGCATTGGACTGATTGCGTATTTCTAGTGCCCTGTACAACAGAAGGGAAAAAGGACATAAGCCTGAAAGGATTTATGTTAAATATTAATTTGAAGTTGGTCATAAAATCACAGGAAGCGCTCAATCTATTGCCTGAACAAAGATTAAAAAAAAAAAAAATTTAAAAAAATGGTGCCATAAAACCAGACTTGCAAGTCATAAAAACCAAACAAAATCAGCAACGGCACAACCAGATGAGTTTCTGCGCACCTTGTGACTACTCAGAACACCGCCTTGTTTACTTAGGTAATGAAAGGACAAGTCTTTCCTGAGAGGCTGTGGCTCTGATTGGGCCTGAAGGAGAAGCACACCTTGCATGCCACCAAGCCCTGATGAAGTCTTCACCATTATTTCTCATTTTATAGAAAATGACCAACCTACCAGTGTAGGGGCTACTTAACAGCAGGGCATTTCCCCCCAGATATGAATGACAAGCAATATGAAATTTGTCGTTGTTAGTGTTGGTTACCTCGGGAGAGAAAAAGAATGTACTTATTTACAAAACTCTTTATTTTAGTTGCTAGGGGAGCTTCGGGTTCCAGGCTGCAAACAGGTATTTTAGTTTAAAAAAAGTTAATAATAATAATAATAATAGTTAAAGAAAAGGAAGTTGAAACCACAATTAGCAGCAAAATGGACATCAGTTGTACCCAGTTAGCGCCCTAAACATTATGCAACAGAGCATTATTTTGTTCTTCTGGTACTAAAACTGGAACAGAACTATAACCTGTAGCGGGGGAAACAACTGTGCGTTTGCACCTGCCACAGCAGGGATTATTTATCTGTTCCACAGCAAGTGGAACAGCCTCACAGCTTGGCTGCTAAGGTGCTCAGGCAAAAGGGGGAATATGCTGGAGAAGGCATTAGACAGTGAGCTATAGAATATGAGGGACTTTGGGGACTTTGTTTCTGAAATGAAGAGCTAAACTGTGGGAACTGTGAATTCTCAGATGAAGAAGGCATCTCTTGGAGCCCAGACATGAGCAGCAAAATGTGAGAACCACTACAAGAATAGCAAAAGTATTCACCATACTTTCTGACAAAAAGAAGTGGCAACACTTTTCTAAGAGTGACACTTATGTCCCCAGAAGTTTCCAGCTGTTCTATATTCTTATCTTTGTGTTTTCTTATGACAATAATTTACCAGGACAAAAAACCAGAATGCCTTTTTGCATTGTCTTCTGTTGGTTTGTTAGTCTCCAAGACAGTATTTTTTTCTTGCATTTTATTTCACAGTCTTGCATAACCTTGAAATTTCTGTTGATAAAACCTATGATACTTGTTCTTCCACTACTTCAACCACACCCCCTGAACTATAACCTACGGCTATAGAACTCGCGGCAGGGAAATTGAAGAAGAGAAATTATCAAGCAAGTTCCCACTGAATTTCTCATTAAATTAGAGAGGATGGGTTTTGCCCAGCTTCAAATTGGATCTCAAGGACCATGGCCATTCCTGGGATTTTTTGTAACCCATGGTTATAGTTGCTCCAAAATAAATAGGCTCCAAACTGTTTTTCCACATCACCTTTGCTGAGCAGTGAGGAGGGAAAATCATAGCATATGGCACCACATCCACAGAAATGCTGCTTGGACCAGCTGACAGAGCACTCCTTAAAATAGCTCTGAGTCAGCAGGTTTTGCAGTCACGAAGGCAGAGCAAGAAGAGGGATTTAAGCAGATCACAAAGCATTTATGCACACACCGCAACTCCTACTCATGGCGCAGCTTTCAGAGCATTCTCAAGGAAGAGGAGGATTAGATGGCCAAAGGCTTTTAAATATTCTCTCATGCAAAGGAATGGAATTAGGCCCACAAAAGTAATTTGCTTGGAATATTAACCTGGGAAATGGGAGATACGTTTGAACTCCCTTGTGGCAGAAAAGAAACTGAACTTGGGTCATTTACAACCTGATTATCCTAACCATGAGTAATTTTAAATAAAAAGAGGGAACTGGGATTTCTTCTCCAGCTGTGCTTGTCATAAAGCTTGATCTTATAATTGTGCTCTTAGGATATCTACAGGATGAGACAAGTAGGAATTGGAATGAGAAAGGTAGAGGAATAACTTGTATTTTAAATATACAGAGAGTTCAAAAATATTTAATGTATATACTATAAATTAACATGCATTAATCTCAAACTTGAAGAATGGTTTGTGTAATGCTAAAAATTCATAAAGATTTTTTAAAATAACCTTACCTAAGGACTATGTTATGTGGTCTAGGTACTTAGATGCTCAACCCTGTTATCTGGTCAGATGCTGGATGAATTGACCCACCTGAAGCTTCACCCTGCCCTAGACAGGTTGGCTACTGTAGGATTGTGTGATCAACAGGTTTGTCCCCCGAGCCCTGTAATAAATAACAGAAATGAAATAAAAGATGTTGTGAGAACCAAGGCAATTAGTGGAAAAGCTGCAGCATTTACAAAAATAGTTTCTGTATTTGTATTGAGAGGGTGTTGTTTGGAGTTTCTGAAGCTGCACAAACCCAAACTGATGGAATGCTCTAGGAAGTAGGGAAAGGTAAAATAATAATCTGAGCAATGTCCTCTCCTACATTATCAAAACAGACATTTACGTCTGCCCCTCTTACAGGGTGGGGGTTTTTGGGTGAGGATTTTTTTCAGTAGATTTTTGTCAGTGCTATATGACAGCAGTGACATGGAGGGAACTGGAACATGGATTGTTCTGAACGCTCAGTTGCAGTGGACAGCCACCACAGCCAACATCTGTCTGTCCGCCTGCCTGCCTCCTCCCCAGCTCCAGTCAGACAGCTCTATGTCTCATCCTGAGAATTCGGTTTGAAAACTGTGAAGAGTTGTCCACCCATGAGAATTTAAAAAACCAAAAGCAGACAGGGATGTTGTTTGCCCTGGGTCTGGTATGGGCAGGATTATGCCACAGTCTCACAGCATGAGAGGCCATCCTGCCTCCTTTACCACACAGCCTTCAGGGGTGATTGCTCCCTACCTAGCTGTGTTGGTCATTAATTCCCCACAAGAGCCCATGGGAAGAGAAGTGAGGAATAAAGACTGGATTTTCTATTTTAAAAAGATTCTATTTTGCATGAAATTTTTCATATTTTTGTTTAAAAAAAGCCTTGCTTCCCCCCCGCCCCGTCTTTTCAATGACAAGCATATCCTGCTGCATCTAGAAGAAGCTCCTGCTTTGTTTCAGTGCTTTGAAATTAACTCTATATTCTAATAACCCCTTCCTCACTTAGGAACTCTTGAACTAAAAACTATTGGGAATTCAAGGGTGCTGCCAAGAGAGGCTGGACATGGCAGTTCTCTCTTCTCAGTGAAACCCTTGAAAATAAAGAAAATCCACCAAAAACTAAAAAACCAACCAGATAAAAGTTACTTAAATATATATATATAATTTATTTTTAAAATGACAGAATTTATTTTTAAAAAAAGCAAGGACTGCAGGACAGGCATGAAGCCGGCGCAGCCTGACTGAGATTGGTGGACCCAGGCTTTGCCAGGATTGACTGCCCAGGTGCAGGGGTCCCGAATGGCATCTGAGCACCATTCCTATCTATCACCTGTGGACATACACAGCATCACTAAATGGGTCAGGCTGGAAGGGACCACAGTGGGACAGCTGGTCCAACCTCCCTGCTAAGGCAGGGTTATCCCACAGCACACGGCTCTGTGCTCAAATGGTTCTTGGGTATCTCCAGTGAGGGACACTCCACAAGCTCTCTGGTCTGTTCCAGAGCTCACTCACTCGGCACAGTAAAGAAATTCATCCTCATGTCCAGGTGGAATTTCCCGTGCATCAGTCTCTGCCCGATTCCTCTCGTCATATTGCTCGGCACCGCCAAGCAGAACCTGGCTCCATCCTTTTGGCACCCTCCCTTCAACACTGATAAACACTGATGAGGTCCCGTCGGAGCGGTCTCTTCCCGAGGCTGAACAGGCCCAGCTCCCTCAGCCTGTTCTGGTAAGAGAGATGTTCCGGTTCCTTGATCATCTTTGTCCCCCTCCGCTGGACCCGCTCCAGGAGCTCCTGTCTCTCTCGTACTGAGGAGCCCAGAACTGGACCCAGGCTGGATCCGGGCTGAGGAGAAGGGCAGGATCAGCACCCCGGGCCCTCCAGCAAGGCTGCTCCCCACGCGTTCCCGCGGGGACGGGGCCGCGCTGCCGTGGCAACGGGGGCGCGAGACACCCCGGAAGCGAACGCGCG